TCAATTAGGGGTAGCCCGGTAGCAATAAACCTAAATCGATAAATCATCCTTAAACATGATGGTTTGGGGGCCCCAAACGTCCGGCACTCCAAAGTCCGAAATCGGCCTCTTTGGGTTTTTCCTCTCGAGGAACTTCGATGCTCTGCCGGGGCCTGGGCTGGGCTCGGCTGCAAGCTACCAAGCTACCTGTATACTACTTGAAACACTCGGATGGATGGGTCAAACCCATTCAAAAGCCATGAAATCCCATGCTGTTGGCATCATCAGGTGTAGCAGTGTAGCACATGGATGTTCATCCCGTGACAACACGGTTGTGGTATAGGTTTTGACCCATACCCACACAACATCCCACGACCAGTGATGCTAACTTGATGGACCATCCCAGCAGCTCACACCAGAATCTATGTAAAGTCCATGGCTGCCCTTGAGAAACAGTCATCACATGAGTTTAAAATTGTTTCTGCCCCCCTTTGGCACAGACATTTCAAGATCAATTTCTGTTTGGAGATCTTTGCGTGACCGGCATCAAACCTGCTCCGCAAGTGCCGCAAGTATTGAGACGAAGGCGGCCGTTTTGCAATCCCCAATGTAGCAGACTGTTCCCCAACAAACCACGACTAGACAGCAATAAGAGTGTGTGAACTGCCGCCATGTTGCCGACGCATGAGTTCCATCTCCATCTCGTAGCGCTCATACTCCTGATCCGTCCTCAGTTGCGTCAAGTGCAAATCAAAAGGGTTTCTTCAAAACGTGGGAATGGCCCAAAAAGACTAGGACCACATTTTAGGAGGGAAAAATGATGATCAACCATGAACAGCCATCAAATGTCGGTGTTCTCATTGGTAGACAAACCATGACAAAGCCATCATTTTGGGGCAGCCAAGCTCTATGGGACGCGCTGACCATTTCCCATGTCATACCGTCTGCCCAAGAAAATATGAGTTTGGCAAAGGGATCTCACATGTTTGCCTCAAGACCGAAGAAAAGTGGATACCAACAGCAGCTCAACCCAGAATTGGTGCAGTTGGGGTTATTAAATATTTAATCAAAGGAAGTTGGGAAGCAATACTTCCGTGTTACGGACAAATAGAATTCTGAGACTTGAAATGATGAAGGGTGGTAGATCACATAACAGTACATAACATAACAGTACATAACAAAAGAATAAGAAGCGGTGGAACTGACTTTGATGAAGGGTGGTAGATCACATAGCAATACATAACGTAACAATACATAACATAACCATACATAACAAAAGAATAAGAAGGGGTGGAATTGACCTTGATGAAGGGTGGTAGATCACATAACAATACCAAACACAACAATACATAACAAAAGAATAAGAAGCGGTGGAATTGATCTTGATGAAGGGTGGTGATAATGACGGGGTGGTGACGAAGAAAAGTGGTGACGAAGGGAAGTGGTGACGAAGGGAAGTGGTGACAAAGGGAAGTGCATGGTGACGAAGGGAAGTGATGATGAAGGGGAGTGGTGAGGAAGGGAGGTGGGGACGATGGGAAGTGGTGAGGAAGGGAGGTGGTGAGGAAGGGAAGTGGACGAAGGAAGGTGGTGACGATGGGACGTGGTGACGATGGGAAGTGGTGAGGAAGGAAGGTGGTGACGAAGCAAGGTGGTGACGATGGGAAGTGGTGAGGAAGGGAAGCGGTGACGAAGGCAAGTGGTGAGTTGGGGAGGAAGCCGGAGCACGAAACCTTGCGTTTTTCCGTGTAAAGTGGCTGCAGCCGGCGATGAAAGGTACCAACGAGTGGTTGTTCCTGTGTGCGTAGTTCTATGCGTTTCTTGAAAAGCTGTGGTGCCAGATCGCATTGGAATTGCTGCATGATGTTGCATGGGCTTTGTGTTGGGGAGGAAGCCGGAGCACGAAACCTTGTGTTTATCCGTGTAAAGTGGCTGCAGCCGGCGATGAAAGGTACCTCGTCTGTGCGGCGGTTGCGGCTGCGGTCGTTTCTGTTGCGAATTGTTCCTCCTATGTGTTTTGTGTTCCTGTGTGCGTAGTTCTATGCGTTTCTTGAAGCTGTGGTGGCAGATTGCATTGGAATTGCAATGGAATGGCTGCTTGATTGTCGTGATTGGATGTTGCCACGTGCGTAGATAGGTGCAGGTTTGCTACGGGATGCTGCGAAACGCATTGTCATGGCTGCATGAATGTTGCATGGGCTTTGTGTTGGGGAGGAAGCCGGAGCACGAAACCTTGCGTTTTTCCGTGTAAAATGGTTGCAGCCGGCGATGAAAGGTACCTCGTGTGTGCGGCGGGTGCGGCTGCGGTCGTTTCTGTAGCGAATTGTTCCTCCTATGTGTTTTGCAAAGAGTGGTTGTTCCTGTGTGCGTAGTTCTATGCGCTTCTTGAATCTTGGTTTGCAGATTGCATTGGAATTGCATTGGAATGGCTGCTTGATTGTCGTGATTGGATGTTGCCACGTGCGTAGATAGGTGCAGGTTTGCTACGGGATGCTGTGAAACGCATTGTAATGGCTGCGTCAAGGTTGCTCGGTGCCGCGGCTGCATGCGTAATACTATTGTCTTTTGCAGCTGAACATCGTAAATCGTATTGGAATGGCTGCATCCAGGCTGCGATGGTGATTTGTCAGCAGATTTTCGTAACTTTGGCGCTAGCAATTTTCCTTTTAAAAAGTCTTTTAAAAAATGCTTCAAAATCGTCTTTTTTCTGCTTTGGCGTCGAGATCTGGTTTTGGAGCTACACTTTCCGACACCTTTGTGCAAGCTTTGTAGTACAAAGTAGTATTGGGACGTGCTTCGTTTGTGCAAGCTTAGTAGTACAAAGTAGTGCTGGGAAGTGCTTTGTGCAAGCTTTGCAGTACAAAGTAGTACTGGGAAGTAGTTTCTGCAAGCTTTGTAGTACAAAGTAGTACTGGAAAGGGGTTTGGGCAAGCTTTGTAGTACAAAGTAGTACTGGGAAATAGTTTCTGCAAGCTTTGTAGTACAATGTAGTACTGGGAAGTACTTTTTGCAAGCTTTGTAGTACACAGTAGTACTGGGAAGTAGTTTGTGCAAGCTTTGTAGTGCACAGTAGTACTGGGCAGTAGTTTGTGCAAGCTTTGTAGTACAAAGTAGTACTGGGAAGTGCTTTGTGCAAGCTTTGTAGTACAAAGTAGTACTGGGAAGTACTTTTTGCAACCTTTGTAGTGCAAAGTAGTACTGGGAAGTAGTTTGTGCAAGCTTGGTAGTACAAAGTGGTACTGGGAAGTACTTTGTGCAAGCTTTGTAGTACAAAGTAGTACTGGGAAGTAATTTGTGCAAGCTTTGTAGTACAAAGTAGTACTGGAAAGGGGTTTGGGCAAGCTTTGTAGTACAAAGTAGTACTGGGAAATAGTTTCTGCAAGCTTTGTAGTACAAAGAAGTACTGGGAAGTAGTTTGTGCAAGCTTGGTAGTGCACAGTAGTACTGGGAAATACTTCGTGCAAGCTTTGTAGTACAAAGTAGTACTGGAAAGGGGTTTGTGCAAGCTTTGTAGTGCAAAGTAGTACTGGAACGTGCTTTGTGCAAGCTTTGTAGTACAAAGTAGTACTGGGAAGTGCTTTGTGCAAGCTTTGCACTACAAAGTTGTACTGGGACTTGCTTTGTGCAAGCTTTGTAGTACAAAGTATTTTGTAAGACTCTTCTGTGTAAATGCATCTGTGTCTCAAGCTTTCTGACGTGCAGAAGAGCCGAGATGAGTTGAGACTACCTTCGATGAGATGAGAAAGTTTGAGCTGCGCTCAGATGACATGAAAATAGCCAAGAAGAACTTAGCTGACATGTGGGAAGACATGAAATGAGATGAGAAGATCTCAGATGAGATGAGTTGAAATGAAGTGCAAGTGAGAAGTGTGGAGCGTGAAATTTTCCAGAATGCAATGTGAAGTGTGAGGAAAGTGTTTGCTTGACAGTTGACGTCGTTGCACCGGGGTCGCGCGCAGGTCATGTTCTTGGACGCAACAACAACAACAACAACTGTTCTTGGTCGTGTTCTTGAAGTGTGAAGTGTGGACTGTGAAGTGTGGAGTGTGAAGTGTGAAATGTGGAGTGTGAAGTGTGAAGTGTGAAGTGTGAAGTGTGGAGTGCGAAGAGTGCAGTGTGAAGTGTGAAGTGTGGAGTGTGAAGTGTGTAGGTGGAGTGTGAAGAGTTCAGCGAGAAGTGTGAAGTGCGAAGTGGAGCTTCACATGTGACATGGGAAACAGGACACCACTTTCACAGAATGCACGCACGCACGGGCTTGGCTGGCGCACGGCGCATGCAAGTTCTATAGATGAGAAAGGTTTTATATATATATATATATATCTTTAAGGCAACTTCCGCCCCGCCTCGTGCGGGTACTACTGGTAACCCCAACTGCACCAAATCTGCACCAGAATCGGTACAACTATGGTAGTAATAACCTCCAAAAGTTCTCATAAGTTGGGATATGATCCCAACTGTGGTGAAATCTAACCTAACCCACAAAAAATATGTTGTGGTTCCAGCGCACCCTGAAGTATAGCTCGCTCCTTCCATTTTTCGCCCAACAGACCATTGATCTGAGCCAGGTCAGTATGATTTCCGCAAAAAAAAACACCCAGCTTTAGCAGCCACTGTTCACTTATGAGTTTCTATGTTTTGTTCATATGGGATGTGTGACAGGAAATAATGGGATAAACGGTTGGGGTGTGATTGAAAATTGTGCAGTATCGTTTAAGGACTGATCATCAACCATGTTTGGACTCTTGGATACATTTTTCTCCTTGGACAAACGATGACAAATCCTGTTCCATGGTCTCATTTGTGATGCCCTGACCAGTCGTCTTCGCCAAGCATCATCACAAGGGGCAGCTCACCTGCGTAGGGAACCAGGGGAGTGGCTGGAAAGGCATCCCAAGATCTACAGGGACGTCTCCAAATCAACCGCAATCTAAGTGATTTGAAGAACAAAAGCGAGAAAAGTGATTGTGATAATTGTGATTATAAATTTTGCAACAAATGCACAATGTATAGTAAAGCCAATACTAATTCATCCCCAAAATCATCGTTTTATGGGTGGTATAAACAGATAAAGAAAGGGAGGTTGACTTGATGGCTTTCCGACATGCGTCCAAGGCTCTGTCGCTGCGCTTTCGATGTGCGCAGACTTTGGCCAACATCAGAGCCGTCAGTGCGGCTCCGACGACGATGAAGACGATCAAGACGATCGTAAGTGCAGGCCCCCCTGGGAGACTTCGGAAACCCTGGAAATCTGGAAGATTCTGAGAAATTGCCAGCAGAATTGACTGCCGAACACGTATACTTATACCTTTTAATTAGCAACATACAGTTGTTGGCATTGATCAGAAATCAGATGGGATCCAAGTGCAACCCCAAAAAAACCTTTGGCTCGTGTGCAAACGCGTAACACGCCTATCCAATATCAACCGCCATTTTTGGTGGTCCCCTTCTCCCGCCTTCATCCTTCGTCCGAGGAGAAATCTCCTGAAACCAAGGTTGGGCCAAGATCTGTCAGCAGCTCCAATTCGGATACGCCACGAATGAATGGACAGGTTCATTATTCAAAAGGATTTGGTGCAAAATCCTGACCATTTGAGACCCATTCTTATAGAATTCATATGATGATTCACGATGTTTCTTAAATTCGGAGTGTTGCCCTGTTTCGACATCGGGGAGAAACCCAAAAACACCATGGCTAAACCCTGAAGTCCTGGCCCCAGTCCCACTTCCTAAGAAGCTACGGCTGGATCCATGGGATTTATATTTTTTTATGTTTGTTTGGTGCAATTGTGCAACGCGCACGGAAAAAAAAACACGTATGAAATTTCAAGTCATCTACCACGCTCAAATTTCACGCTTCATAGCCCCGATTAAGTCCAATTACAAACTCAAATCACTCACTTGGAACCCCAGCGATGTCAATGTGTTCATGTTTGGGTAACATATACTACTTAATGCTAACAAATGCTCCACAGTCCTATAGGTCTGGTCCGCAAATATACGTGGAATCCAAAATCAACGATTTCTACTGGTTATATCCTACAAATCACACTACGACGTCACATTTCCCCATTCAAATCCATACTTTTCGGACAAGTTCCATCCAACTGAGCCATGAAAAATACCCCATTGTCACATCCCATTATACTGGTTGACGTAATCATTCCTTGTATTACCGGTCTTTTCTCCAGGTAGGTTCGAACCCGTTACAAGGTCAAATGTTCCCAAATTACAGTTTGGTTTCTCCCAATCAACTTCATATTTTTTCTACCAGCCTAGTGACGTCAATGTTAGCCAACTTAACGACATTTGTGTATAATGAAACCACAAATTCTCTCAATGTGACTCAGAAAAACTATCACAAATATCATTGAATTATATCTCCACATCTTTGACAAAGACAATTCCATCTATGACTCTACAGTTCCTCGTGAAATCCCATGAAAATCACATCAACCATCGTTTCGCCAATTATATCCGAATATCTTTGCTGGTTAAAAACCGTTTAAAGCCGTTAAAACCCGTGATTTTTCTGAAATCCCGTTCCTTAAGCCCACTCAAATCCCAAAAAAAATTGGTTAAAAATTACAAACACTTTTTTGGACCTCGTTCCATTTCTTTTGGACCTGGACACTTTTCATGGACCTTATTACAATTCTTTTGGAGATCTTGATGCTTTCCAAAGCCCTGAAACCTTGATGCTCAGCAACATCTTGCGCTCATCTGGTTTCAGTACCTAACTTCCCCCCTGTGCCTCTCATCAAACTTCTAAACTTCCTGCATTCATTGGGTTTCAATATCTATACTTCCCCCGTAGCGTCCCCACAACTTCTTGCGTTCATATTGTTTTAATATCTAAGCTTCCTCCCTGGTGCCCCTCAACAACATCCTGCATTCATCTTGCTTCAATATCCCCGGTGCCCCTCAGCAACTTCCTGCATTCATTTTGTTTTATATCTGGTTCCCCCGTGGCCACCTAAAGTCCCACCCGCCTGTGCGTCTCAACAACTTCCCGCATTCATGCGGTTTCAATATCTAAGCTTCCTCCCCTCGTCTCTCCACAGCTTCTTGCATGCATCGTCATTTGGGTTCAATATCTAGACTTCCGCTTCTCGTCTCAGCAACTTCTTGCGTTCATCCTTGTTTCGATGTCTAACTTTCCCCTCTCCCACCTGCCTCTCTCTCACCAATTTTCTTCGGTCATCTGGCCTCAATATCTACATGTTCCCCCGTTTCTCTCAACACCTTCTTGCATGCATCTTGTCTCAATATCTAAATCCCCCCACCCTGTGCCTCTCAGCAGCTTCCGACATTCATTTGTTGGTCCCAAAACTTCCCCCTGCGTCTCTCAGCAAGTTTTTGCATGTATCTTCATGTATCTTCATTCAGTTTCAATGTCTAGGCTTCACCCCTTTTCAATATCGAACTTTCCCTTCCCCCTATATGCCTCTCAATTTCCTGCGTCCATTTCGCTTCATACGTAGACTTCCCCCATTGGCCTCTCCACCACCTTCTTACGTTCTTGTTGTTTCAATATCCGAACCTCCCCTGCATCAACAACTTCTTGCATGCATCTTGTCTCAATATCAAAATTCCTCCCACCCTGTGCCAGGTCCAAAAAAAATGTACAGGTTCAAAAAAAGAAGGCGCCAAGGGCCAAAAACATCAAGCCCAATGTGAGCGCCTATAACAATGGAGTGCCCCCCCCCCACCCTATGGAGGCAAGGTCCACGATGCAGGTGCACGGGTCCAAAAATAAACCGAGGTCAGAAACAAGTAATTTGGCTTTCCCTGGGTACAGCACAAATACATGCAGGTCTAAAAACATACCCCCACAGGGTCCAGAAAACACACAGGCAAGTCCCCCAATTTTTTGTGCCCCCAGGTCCAACAAAGAATCCGGCCAGGTCCAAAAAACATGGGTCCAAAAAGAAGGGTGCCCAGGTCCCGGAAAACATGCATCCCGAAAATAAACTTTGAAAATAAACCCATATAAACCCACGAATTTTCATGGCCTTTATGGCCTTTGAGAAGCCTGGACCACAACTCTTCGCTCCTCTGAGGCCTCGGAGGCCCGGGACGGCAACGGCGGGCCCGGCGTCGTGCCCGCCTTGGCACCGCGCAGGGCGATCTTCGGCCGCCCCGAAGGCGCGGCCGGATCTTGCGGCACCTGAGATCCGTGGAGATTTTGAATGTGAAACGTACAGGATGGGGCCCCCGTTCGAAATCGCGTTCAGAAACGCCTCAAATTTCAGTGGCTGAACTAGTCAATGGGTTTATAAACCAACTTATAACTGGGGGGGCACCATCCTGTAGGGATTTGAATGGGGATTAAATGGATAGATTATTATGGTGGGCTTACTATTTTTAATCATGAAGATTATATATACCCTCTGGTAATTTAACATAACTATGGAAAATCACCATTTTTAATGGGAAAACTCACTGTAAATGGCAATTTTCAATAGCTATGTTAAATTACCAGAGGGTATATATATAAGATTACTATATTGAATGGGGGTTAAATTGAGATATTTCATGGGATCTATTGAAGATTTAATGATGGTTTATATAATGAGATATAATAGGAATTAATAAAGGTTTTCAATAGGATTTAATAGCGCTTAACGGTGATTTAATGGGATTCAATGGGAACTAATACTAATTTAATGGATCTGGCTGAACTGTAATAATTCGCTCTCCTGAAACTAACTGTTATCATCTTGGACCATTTGGGGATATGATCCTTTACCAACAATCATGCCAGTGATGTCACGAAATGTATGTGCTGATGTCATTAATCCCCATGATTGACTTCATCAAGAAATCACCAATATCCATATAATTACGATAGTAATAATATATAATACTATATAAGCAAATGACAGACAAGAAATACAGTAATACATTAGTAACTAGTAACATAATACTATCAGCTATAACAAAGGGATAATGTATACAACTTGGGACCCTCCAGGTATAAGTTGGTTCGTAACACCATAACTATAGCTATCTGCGCCATGAGTTCAACAGTTGTTGTGTGGTGAACATCCAACCAGCCTACTCTTTGAGGATGTATGGATAGTGCAGATCTGATTTAACTGCAGATTCACAAAATCTAGGCGGGCAATTGGGGAATTACTCCAACAACTTTATACATTTTATATCAAATCCATGGCATAAACCATGGCTATATATACAGTATACATAATATAAAAAAATAATATATATATATAATTATGAACATAAACATGACCCCCCCTTTCAATCAATCTATATACACCTTTGTAAATAAATTGAGGCTTCGCGCTACCCTGCCAGCCCTTGGGATCACCTCAACTCGATTTTTGTTTTTCCATCCCCATTCGTATGGCAAAATCATATAGGTATTTGCCCAAAAAATGGTCCCATAACTATTGACCCATCATGGATATGGATGGATGTGGTTTTTTACTCTTCATTACCCGAAAATCGCATGGTTGAATACTACAGAACATGAATTTTCCGCGTCCATTCCTACCCGAATTCTTGAGTTCATGCCTGGACCTTCTAACAAACATGCCCAACCCCAACCTCAGATGTCGATGTCGTGACGGCAAATACACCTCAGTCCACTGGATAGAGTTGTAACTTACAACTCAAAGCAAGGTTGAAGAATGGACTTTTGACCATTGACAATACACATAGCTTAAATACATTTAAATACCATCTGGTTGGTGGTGCAATAACCATCTTGAAAAATGATGGAGTTCGTCAATGGGAAAGATTAGACATCCCATATATGAAATGGAAAATGCCAAAGTCATGTTCCCAACCAGTGATTATTAACCATTAACCATCATTAACCACTATTATTGGTATATAATTCCATTATAAAGATGATTATCCCATTATAGTAACCAGTTATAAGTGGTTAATGTACACATCTGTATGTTATAAAGATGATTATAATACATTTAAGTACCATAAATATGAGGACCAGAATCCAGATATCAACATGTGTACCGTAAATCATCATTCTCTTTGTTGACTTGACCTCGAAACATCAATCTCAATCCCTGTAAAAAAAAAAACGTTTAAACAAAAAACGCTGAGCTGAGGCTTCTAAGATATATGATATATGAAAGTATGTGATTATATATATTTATAAATGATAATAATGATATGTGTCTGTTACAATATATATATATATATATATATATTATATATACCGTATATGAAGGCCTTTACTAAGAAACACACAAAGCATTGCCCTGCAATCACGTCTATCTTTGTAAGCATCTCATCCATCTGTCCAATCTACGGGCCAGTCCACTCAAAGACACAACTACATACAACTATGTACTATGTACTATATATATATAATTAGGTCTGGAGTCTGAATGAAACCGTTCATCGCCTGAGATTGCCTTAATCACGTACTTGGGGGGGGCATTCATGTTACAAATGGCAAACCATGCTTTTTGTTAACAAGCATGGTATAACCACCCACGTCAACGGCTTCACTGCACTTCCCTTCGGAAGCCCCCGCCTGCTGATATCGGGTGGATTCGCGACACCGTAACCCCAATAAAAAAACACGATGAATTTTGGACATTTCTCCATGACTTTACTCCTGGTCCCTATGACATATATATATATATATATTGGTTGGTGGTTTTAACCATCTTGAGACATATTAGTCAGTTGGGATGATGAAATTCCCAACTGAATGGAAAAATAAAAGTCATGTTCCAAACCACCAACCAGTATACATGACCTACTGTATATGATTTTCGTGTTCTATCCATCACTGCCTCACAGTAAGCAGTCAGTAAGTCAACTCCACGCACTGAGAGCCCTTGCTTGTGAGGAGCATGGAAATCACGAAAAACCTGCCAGGAAAGCCACCAGAAACTGAGGACATAAAAAACCTCTACTGGGCAGCCAATCAAGAAATACCATGAGATGTTAAAATGTGCAAAAAAAAACATTATGAGCATAAACATCAACCCCAAAACTATTTTTTCTGTACTACAGTGTATTCGTTCATAGGTGTTTTGATCACCAATGTTGATTCGTATGTGAACATACCCGAGAGATCCCGAGAGAACAGCCATAAGGAACTGCAACTTGATCTCACTGTGAGTGCTGGGAAATACAGATGGATGGGAAGATCATGTAAATGTCGTTGGAGAAAACAACGTTTGGATGTGCTTTCAAAAAAAAGGATTCTATGAAACCCACTAAGAAAAAAACGTGTGAATACTACAATACTACTATGCCCTATGGATCCAAACACCTCCTGAGAAGGTACAAGACACCCCCCAAATCATACCCCAGTCCCACTTCCTAAGAAGGTACGGCTGGATCCATAGGGAATGTTGTAATAATACTATGAATATGTACTGTTCTGTATTGTTCTTTCTGTTCGTTGCGCATCCGCCCCCCATTCTCACCGTGGCGTGCGGCGTGCCTGAGCATGACGAGGAAAACCCGAGAAACGACGGCGGAAAATTTCAACTTTCCAGGCACAGGCCCGGGTTCAATCAGCTGCGGTAAGGTTTGAACAGACCTGAAGGATCATGGGACACACCACCTATATCTCACTAAATTTAATATATATATAATATATATATATAATTACATATACATATATATATAGTGGAAGACTTGCAAATAGAAAATTATTTTTTTCAGTCATATATATATATAAACAACAGATAGAAACAAAAGTTCAAAACTGGATAAGAAATCATTTCCAGAAAAACTCACGAACACGTATTTATATATAATATACGTAAATCCAAGCATATGTATCGGAAAAATGTAGAGATAGAAATGCTTAAGATAGTAAAACTGGAAAAACATCACGGAACCCTACATATATGTAGATATATATATATACAAACATAATACCATTTCGCTAATAAAAGCAAATCGGGGAAAGGTTTCACGAAAAACAACATCACAAAACCATGTATATGTATATATACATACATATTAATACGTATATATGTATCGATTATCTAATGTTCTATATCTGTCGTGTTTATCATTTGTAGTTCGTTTCCATCTGTCATGTTTCTATAATTTTTGTTTTACAACGGGGAAATATGTGTAACACTAAGATACAGATAGAAATGTCTAACATAATATAAACTATATAAACACTGGACAAAACTGAAACAACAGAATATCAATTATCAGATTGTCAGTCTATCTGTACTTGTTAAAAAAAAAACACTGGACAGAAACATCACAATACCATATACATATGTATACGTAAAATGTATCATTTCCAGATTTCCAGATCAAAAAAACAAACTTAAACACAGGACAGCAAAAACATACGTACCATTATCATTCCGAAAAAACAAAAGCATTTCAAAAAAAAAATCTGAATGAAAAAGCGATAAAACAAACGGAAACAACCAGCATTGAGTAAACATAACAACAAAACACATGGATACTGATACATAATGTGATACATATGTATAATTAGATAGATAGATAGATAGATAGACAGATAGACAGATAGATAGATAGATAGATAGAAAGGATAGCATAGGATAGGATGGATAGGATAGATAGGATAGATAGGATAGATAGGATAGATAGGATAGATAGGATAGATGGGATAGATAGGATAGGATAGGATGGGATGGGATAGGATAGATAGGATAGATAGGATAGATAGGATAGATAGGATAGATAGGATAGATTAGATAGATTCGATAGATCGATAGATCGATAGATCGATAGATCGATAGATCGATAGATCGATAGATCGATAGATCGATAGATCGATAGATCGATCGATAGATCGATAGATAGATAGATAGATAGGTAGATAGGTAGATAGGTAGATAGGTAGGTAGGTAGGTAGATACATAGATAGATAGATTGGATAGAGGGATCAAACCTTATTTCTCCATGCTGTCATGTTCATCAGTTTCCCTCCCTTTTCCTCCCTTCAGGTCATCACTACATTTATAAGTTTTCCCCATCTATTCGATCATGTTATCGAAGGATTCATCAGTTTTGCCGACCTATTTATTTGAGCAGTTTATCCAAAAAAAAAATGTTCTCCCCACCTACTTGTTCATTTTAACATTAAATTTTATCATCTATTCCAAGTCTATACAGTGGATTGCGTCAATTGTCCAAAACTTTCCCAACCTATTGGTGCATGTTATTATTGGGCTTCATTGGTTTGCCCCACCTACCTCTTGAGTCTATCATGAGACTTTATGAGTTTTGGTTGCCTGTTCCTTCATTATGTCATTAGATTTCATCAGTTCTCCTCACCTAATTCTTCATTGTATCATTCGATTTCATCAGTTTTCCCCCACCTATTTGTTAATGTTATCACTAGTGTTTGTCAATGTTGCCCGACCTATTTGCTGATTTTATCATTGTCCTTCATTAGTTTTCCCCATCCATTCCTTGATTTCATCATTATATTCAATCGGTGTTCCCAATCTACTTGTTAAATTTCACACTCGATTTCATCAGTTTTCCCCACCGATTGGTTCATTTTATCATTGGATTTCATTGGGTGTCCCCATCTATTTTATCTTTTTATCAGTGGAGTTCATTCAGTTTCCCCCTCCATTGCAATGTGTTTGTCTTTTGCATGCAATCCAAACACATTCATTTTGGACGCAGTTTGTGCTCTTCATGTACTTAGGAAGAAACACAGCACAGATCATACCCAAGGTGCCAGCTACTTGCGATACCTGATGATTGCACAAGGATATAGAGAGGTTCACAGATACAAGAAATGAAGGGCAAAAAACATGTAAGCACATTCATGATTACTGTTCCAATTCCAGTACAATGATAGAACCAATTTCCCAGACATGCTGTTCACATGTAAAAAAAACACTGAAAAGACCAACAAACCAAAGGTCACAGGCATAAGATATGTGACCAATGAACATATACACAGTTTATACTTGCATTCATATAAGTATAATTAAATATATACAGTAAATATATATATAGTATATACATATATACAGTATATACAGTATATACAGTATATATAGTATATACAATATATACATTAATTATTTACAGTATATACAGTATATACAGTTTATAAATATATATAATTAATAATATAGATATACTTACATGGCCAATCAATGCGACAAATAGGTAATGTCTACAGGCATATGCAGGATACCATTGTGTTGACCGTGCAAAAACCAGGCAGTCCGTTTTTTTTCTAACATCCTCTACCAACTCTAAGATTTGTGCTCATGGTCCAATCATCACATTTTGGCGGTGGCCAGTCTGTCACATCCTTCATCTGGTCATGGGATTAAAGACGATTCACCCGTGTTTTCGGTTTTCACGTCAAAAAACAGATAGACTGGTGGACGTATGGAGATGTGAACAGCACACTAATTTTTTGTTTGCAATGTTTAGGTTTGTCTGAGCATGCAATACCCCGAATTCCAACAGAGTATCATATCTTTCCATTACAAACCAGCAATTTACGGTCTACCCAATCTATGTTCCATTGACAAACCCACTTAGTCATCATGGCAACCTGAGTTACTTCTCTTTTGGTATTGGCATTGACCATATAGCTTAAGGGAAAATCTAGAGGAAACCTTTCCCATCTTTTCCCTATCTCTTCAAACGTATTCAAAAGTGAGGTTTGCTGACAACGTCCAATCTTCGTCCAAGTCGTGCAGCAGGCCACCCATTTTGGACACGTAAAAACCATAGGATTTCCATCCCCATCCAACTGCAACCCCCCGGAGCCTCGCCTAGGCCCTCCAACAATTCTGTGCCGCTTCCCTGCGCCTCACTAAAGATTCATGGATCAATGGGGGCTACTGATGAAAATTGCAGTGGTTTGGAATACATCTGCAAAATGATAGCGAAAAAAACAATCAGCAGACCCACTCATCGAGGTTTCACCCAGAACTGGTGCTTTGGACGGGTGGCTTGCAATTTCATGATTCCCCCTACGGACTTCTCATTGCAGCACCCTCCCGGTCAACAATCATTGGACCCTCGGGTCAAACTAAGCATGATACTTGCAATGTTTCATAGCCAAAATACATCATAGAAAACCCGGCCATAAATTCATGCTTTGGATTCGCTTTTTCCAAGCCGTGGCCAGCCATGGCCAAAGTATCTTAGATCTGCCAGGATCGAAAAATCCTGTCCTGGACCGATTGTGACACCCTCCAATAGGGCTGAACAAGTTTCATGCTATACAGGGCTATACATTCCAAAGCCAACATCAAAAAGACTCAAAAAGACTCACACACAGCTCACCATCGTTTTCCCATCATATCTTCAGAAAAATCAACATAAACCAAGAACCGATTCAGACATATATATATATATATGTATATAAATATATATATATATATTATATAAATATCATATATGATATATATATATATATATCATATATATGATATATATATATCATATATATAATATATGTTCCCTTTCCTTTTCCCATCATGTTCCCATCGATGCCAATGGCACGTTTCTTCCCCCGAAAAAGGTCGCCGTTCGCCGCGCCTTTGGAGAGGCTAAACGTAGAGCTGCACAGGCTTTTTTGCCAAAGTCCTGTACCTCCGCGGAGCCCCAACAAAAACCCCTTTGAGCCGAGCTCATTGGCGGGCTGATGGGGAAAACGGCGAGATCCAGATTTGATTTCAGGGATATCATGGTGATTTAATGCAAAACGTGTTCATCGGATTTTGGATGGGACATGGAGATTTTTCACCATCAACGTTTGAGGGGTTTGATGGGATTTCTTATGGCATATCATCACTTCATGGGATCTTAATGAGGCTAAAAATGGGATGCAACCGAAATATTTCTGATACACCTCTCCCAGGAACTCTTTCCTCCGGCCTGGCCAATAGCCATGGTATGCCATGGTGCTTCTATCACCGCAGTTCCAACCAGTGAAATCATGTACCCTGCAGTAAATTAACATAGACCCTGCCAGATAGGGGTTGAAAGGTTAGTTTCCTCTAAAAATTGGTAATTTTCAGGGTCCAACTGTTCATTACCGGGTAAAATCTAGGGATTCTGCAGGCAGCCAGGCCATGTCCTGCTGCGGTGCCTCTGCGGCTCTTGTAACAGCCACCTGCTTTTCCCAGTGAGCCAGCACGAACTTGGCCGAGGTTAACCTCGAGGGCGCCATCGTCTTCGACAGAAAATCATGGGACACAATGTTTAAGTTCGGAAAACCAACTATCAATGGGCATTTTCAATAGCTATGTTAGATTACCATCATCCATCATCCATCATTCATCATCCATCAATTCACTGGCCATTCCAGGAACCTAAATTGGAGGTACCGATTCCATATATAAGGCCTATATAAGGCCTAAATTTCAGGGAATATCCCAGCAAAATATGGCCAAAAATATGGTACTAACGTACCTCCATTTTAGGATCCTGGAATGACTATTGACATATGGCCATAATCATGGTGATACGGGCTACGGACTCCCGTTTTTTTCTGATGACCATTTTGGAACACCAATTGGGGTCGACAAAGCCATTGAAAAGAGGTATGAAGGCACTAAGGAACTCCGGAACTCCCTCCCCAAAATTGATCTTTTGTGGATTATTTGAAACATGGCGAGACATTGCCCTTGCATGCTTGGGTTTATCATCCCTGGCATGAGAATGAGTAGTCAAAGCCCCATCATTCTACCTATAGGGCTGTCACTATAAAATGTGATTATGTTTGCTTATGTATACGTGTGGGTGTGTCTGAAAATAGGTTACCCCGAAATCTCATGTTTTATCATGTTGTCTACTCAAATGTAGAGCATAACAGCTTCAACATGTTTTGCCCAAAGATTGCTCGAATGCCCGAATTTGCTATATTGATACTTTGGCATAACTTAAGTTCATATCTTTCTGTTGGTGATATGCCAATGTTAAACTGACCAAAAAGCGGCCTCACAACATATGAAAAAACTCCTTGCTCCGTCCGTTTTCGTTCCAGTTGCTGCTGCTTTGGCTTCATAAACCTCGACAAAAGTCGTACGGATTCAATCCTCGTGGCGATGAACCCAAAGGTTCCAACAAAACACGGCGCTGAATGGAGACCATTCATGAAAGCAGTGCTTGGATGTACAATAATTTACAGTACTTAATTAGATTATCACTGTACATAAAAAAGATCATCCTTAAGTACTTGATACCAAAATATACCAAATGAATGTGCAGTGATCTGGCGAAATGATCATCATTTATTCAATTTATCACTATTCACTCACCTGAAAACAGCGAAAAAAAATCTGGCCATTGGGAGAAATGTTTCCCTTTAAAAAATGACACAAAAAAGTGAGGGCATGATTTTATTTATCCAGCTTTGTTGGAGAAACAGTAATAAAACTGTAATTTTAAACTGTAAACCACATATTTGATTCACCATACCCTCTGGTAAACGTTTACATAACTATGGAACATCACCATTTTCTTAATAGGTAAATCAACTATAAATGGCAAGTTTCAATAGCTATGTTAAATTACCAAAGGGTATCTGGGTTTATACAGCTATGCTTTTTAGCTCCCAGCACCGCTTTCAAAAGGCTGGGAAACTGGTAAATGAAGAAATAACATGACTGATACGGTGGATGGAAGCGATATCACTTCCTTATGGTTATGAGTCACCTGTGATTGATTGGGTTCAACCCTGATAGAAACCTATATCAGTGGTTGATAACCAAATAACACCCCCAAAACTTCTATATCAACTGGACAGTAAGTCATAACTTCTAGCCCATATACGACTAAGGATATTTCATTCATACGTTGTTTCTAATATACTCACTGTATACCCACTTGCTACGTGGGATGTAGCTCCAAGAAACCAGGTCCTTCAAATCCCACACCCCTGAAGAACAACCATAAATCAAACAAACATGGTTTGTCCACCATCTAATTCTGGCATTTAAGGTGAAGCAGGGGACTTTGTCATTCGAAACCGCAACAGCTGGAAGGATCTTTCAAGGACTTGATGCTGCAGCTTCTCAGCAACCGGATCCGTTAAAACTGTCATGAAACAACCGTCACGTGCTGGGAGCACAAACTTTGTAGTGTTTCTAGGGAATATGCATATTTGCACATGCCTCTCGGAATCTGCCAAATAATACAGGTCTTGATGATGTTTGTATCCCTGCACAAAGTGTTCTGTTGGCTTCCTGTTCCTTCTTCGTTATCAAGATACCACAGTAATTCCTGGTTCGTCCATAGGCTGAGTAGTCAAAATAGTTGCTGGAACTGAACAACATGGGATCGTATTTTATCCATCACCCAAACATACCCAAACCAGTGGTTGGTGGAGGTGTTCCCCCAATGGTTTTATGATGTTGAAGCGGGACATTTCATTACCCCTTGTTGGCTCTGATTGTTCAATCGTGTTGAATCTCCATTGTTGATACCACTTACGCTGTCATTTTCATGAATCATATCTCCATATTTCCATGATTGTCTGGTTGGTGGTTTTAACCATCTTGAAAAATATGCTTGTCAGTTGGGATGATTATTCCCAATCTATGGAAAATCATAAAAGTCATGTTCCAAACCACCAACCTGTTGTTATATATGGGTAGAATCCCCATATTTCATCATATGTCCATAGGATCTCTTTGAGTCAACTCCCCATAGATTAATCTTGTCCAAACAAACACACCGCAACGGCTCGCATGCTCTCCTATGATCATCCAGAATTCCGTTTGCGTCGCCCTGCTTCAGCCCCTGCGAAGAAACATGAGCGACCCAATGTCTTGGTCACATTAAGGGGTGGGGATGTGTGAACTAATGTATATGGGTTTGTCTGAAAATAGGGTATATTCCCAATTATAGCCATTTAATAGGGATAATGATCATTAACCATTGGGTTTAGGGGTACACTATTTTCAGACACACCCATATTCTTAACTATCCAACTATGTATGATACGTATGGATAATAGTGATTCTGGGTCACTATTAGTGGCTTACTAATCCGGTGGAGAATGAATTATCATGGTAATTATTATAGTCATCATTAGTTTGATATTAATGTACAATGACTATGACTATATCACTATTAGTTTTAATGATTATGTGACATAGTCATTATTATCCCATCAATAGTAATTAGCCCCAAATAGTCACAAATAGTCAAATAGTCAATTTCAATACAGTTGATAATTACTAAAGTCACTATGTCCATTGTCACTCTATACTATTAGTCATTATTTATCATTAACAAGAAGCTGATGATTCTTCTGAACATTGAAAACGCAAAGAAAAACATTGCCTTATGGATTGTTCAACCCAACACCCTTAAAATAGCAGCCCCTGTCATAAGTCAATAGCTTATTGTTTTTATTATCATTATTATCATCCCCCTTGGGAATTCAGCCCCTTCTAATGATAGTGCCCCCCCAGTTATGAGTTGGTTTATAAACCCCATTAACTAGTTCGTTATATCTACCATAAAGCATAGAATTCTGCCACTTATAAGGCAGCTGAACATTAATCGAACGGGGGGCCCATCCTGTTGTCACTATCATAATCACTATTATCCCATTAATGACCACTATTATCACTGTTACTCCTTATTGTCGCATTCATCACCATGAATAAATACGATGAGTTATTGATATTAAATTGTTGATAATCTCTATCATACTCACTATATGGTGTTTGATATTGTACTAGATACCCCATCATAATCACTATTCTCACCATTGATGACTACTACCAGTTAATCATTCTGAATCATACTATTATCCCATTAATGACCAATATTATCAACATTAATAGGTTGTATACTCACTATTATGATACTCGCTATTATCAATAAATATTTTTGTAGTGGCTAACCTTATCACCATGAATATGGTCATTGATCACCACTATTACCACTATTACCACCATCAATAACTGGTGACTATGATCGATTATCACCATTAATACTCACTGATCACAACATATCACAACTATAATCACTATTATCTCACTATTATCACCATACTCACCCATTCTTAGTGTGATAATAGTGATCATAGTGATTATAGTGATTAATACCACTATATAGCATTATTAATTGGCTTATCTCACAACATAATACCACCATACCGTTATTAATCATTATTAGTGGCTTTATAATTAATTATCATAATTATCATTATTACTCATGGTTATGACTATCTGTGATAATTATCACAACTATTAATAGTGATCATAGTGAGATAATAGTGAGTATACAACCTAATGGCTTATAATACTAATAACAGTATGTTTAAAGCCTATTATCACCATTAATACTCACTATTATCTCATTAATGATCACAACATATGACAACTATAATCACTATTATCTCATATTATCTATTATCACCATACTCACCCATGATTAGTGTGATAATAGTGATTATAGTGATTATACTGATTAATACCACTATAGCATTATTAATTGGCTTATCTCACAACATAATCACCATACTCACTAATATTGATAGAATTTCCGCAGCTTAACCGGCTTAACCCCGGTGGATTCTGCCGTGGATTATGCCGCCTCCGCCTCCTTCTTGGCCGTCTCCAGCTGCTCCTCTGCCGCTGCGATGGCCTCGGCCACCTGTTTTAGGCGCTGATTTCGACGAGACGAAGGGGGTTCTTTAAGCAACAAACAATAAGCATAAGGGACTATAACCACCTGATTATAGCTAGAACTACTATTTATTTAGTTATAACTGGTAGTCTAACATCAACAATAGGGATTTAACCACCAACAATAGGGATTTAGTTGGATATCAAACATACAGCTATGGTCATTTAAACAAAAAACATGGGATTTATAGGCAACAAAAAAATACAAACAAAAATTTGGATTTATAGGAAAAGATGTGGATTTATAGAGTTTATAGACCTGAGTCATGGCCATGTATTAGTAATAACTGGTTATTTCCATGGGGCTATACATGAACCATAAATGGGGTTTTAAATTAGTACTTAAAAGTGGTATTTCGGGCCACAACTGTAGGCAAACAAACATGTGGATTTATAGAGTTGAGATGGTTGACTGATGTTTAAGTCGGTTCAACTCAGGTGAATTCGATGGTTTTTTGGTAATCGAACTAGTGAATGGGGGTTATAAAATTATAAATGAACATGACTGGGAGGCACCACTCTGTGG